GAGAGAGAGAGAGAGAGAGAGAGAGAGAGAGAGAGAGAGAGAGAGAGAGAGAGAGAGAGAGATCTTCCGTTTGACAAGCTCCACTTGTTTCTGAGCTAGCAGTCACCTAACCATGAGAAGATGCTGACAATTGTTTTGGGGATGGGCCATGGGCATTCATACATGCACGCAATGTTGACTCAGAGGGACGGGGCGAGCATTCAGGCAATGAAGGATGAAACGAGGAAGGAAATAAGGAGCAGAGCCATCCCTCTCTACAGGAAGGTTGGAAGCGGGAGGCCAGCCATCTTCAGCTGCTCGGCATGAATGCAAGTTGCAAAGAAGCAGTTTCTGAGGGCAGATACTTGCCTCTCCAGGACCAACGTCATGATCCTCACGGGTGTTCCATTCCACATCTCCGTCTATCAAGGAAGCTCCCCAGGTCATTTGCCAGGGGTACGAGGTGTGTAATGAGGGTAAGAACCCCGTTGAGGGGTAGCTTCATAGGATCTACAATTGTCGTCCAGCAGCAGCAGCGGAAGCAGCCTTCCGGCTCACAGCAGCTGCAGAAGCAGCCTTCCGGCTCACAGCAGCTGCAGCTGAAGCAACATAAACAACAGCAGCATCACCAACAGGAACAACAAGAAAAGCATCAGCAGCAGCAGCAACCGCAGCGACAACAGGTTGATCCGGTAGCTGGAACCCTTCGACGAGGGACCATTGAGATCAATGGCCCTGGTAAGGACCAGTCCATTGAGTTCCATGAGCAGGACCAGGCTCAGCTGCAGGATCAGGACCAGGTGGAAGGCGGTAGTGCATCACTGCGAGACTTGTGTGTTTCTGATAAGGAGAAGGTTGCAAAGCTCATCCGTCAGGTTGTTGGAACAGCCAAGGAGAACCAGCGGTTGATGTCCCTTCTCGATGAAGAAAGAAGGGTCAGTGCCTGCCGATTAGAAAAATTGCAAGCACAAAACAAAGGCATCATCTCCGAAATATCAGGCCTTCGGGCTAAGTTGGTTCAGGCATATTCCTTGATCCGATCGTATCAGCATAAGTTACACATTCACCACCATCACCACAGGAGCTCTCAGGCCTCGACAGCAGGGACGAGTCTGCCAACTGTTTTTGAGGAGGATAATCAGCCAAATGGAACCCCTGTTTTGTCACCACACGGGTCAGCGAACAATGTAACGACGCCCAATATGATCATCTGCAGTAGCTGCCAGAGAGGGAGAGACACACTTATTTGTTGCGCAAGTACTGATAGAAGGGAATGCTCGGCGTGCTTGATATGCCATGGAGGAAAATATGACGGTGGCGCAGGCCAGCAACATGGCAACCTGGAGGACGCCAGGCTTCGGAAATGCGCTGGGGAGAGCAAAATGAAATTGCGGAACCACAATTCTGAAGAATTTGTAGGAGTCAGGGCTTCTCTTTCACGAGAGGGGAGTACCAAGAGACCGGGAAGTGTTGGTCCGACAAAAAACGTCGAGGGGTTAGACAGTGAAAGACCAGAATGCTCTTCTGCTGCTAATGCTGATCATGTCTCTTTGGCAGCAGCAGGCCGGTTGGCAAGCCTTCGTGGCGATTCTGCTTCTGCTGTTGCTGACACTCCTAT